AGGAGCGAAGATGGCCTTATCTCTGAAACATTATTTAATCAAGTATGAAACCTGTCTGATACCGAAAAATGTGACAATAAAGGAGATTACAAGTTAAATCTCTTGAACGATAAAAACAAGATTAGGGAACGAGGGAAACATGCTGCGTGCGACTGCACTTTTTTCCTTGTGTAAACGCAAATTTTACGTATGTTTCTCTTCTCAAACAGCCTGTCATTACACCATGAGTGAGACTCCTCAGGAGTTCATGTCACCTTTTTACCGCAGTGGTGATGGCTACCCGAACTCACAGCTCTGCACCTGGCGATTCTTGGTACAGGAGAAAAACCCTAAATCACAGCAGATCCTAATCAAGTTCCCAGAGTTTAATTTAAGAAAAGATGGGGACGGTGACGTGGTGAGGATTTACGGCGGCTGGGACGAGAAGGCAAAGCTTCTTGCAGAATTTAACGGTGATCACCCACCCCCAACCAAGGGCGTGGCAGCTGACTCCTCTGTGGTGTATGTGGTATTCAAATCTGACTCACAAACCCGCTCCAAGGGTTTCAGAGGAGTTTTCTTAAATCAGAGTAAGTAGCAAAGGCATGTTTGTAGCTAGTATGGTCTTTTGATAATTGGAGAGGTCGTAGATGAATTAAAAACTATATGTTTTAAGGAAAGATGTTTTATGATATAAGTGAGATCTCTAATCATAACATGCTTTTGTTCTCATAGCATACAATGCTGCTTCTGTACCAACACGACCCATAACGATTCCAACACGGCCCATTCCAGTGAAAACAAATGAAACTTCAGGTAACAAATCCGTAGTCCAGGCCAGTGTAATAACAATAGTCTTAGATTAATACCAATAAACCATAGAGGAATGCAAACTCTTAGGGTCAGGTGAACCCAGAAAAATGAAAATAGTTTTACTTTAATGCGCTCTATACTGTTTCCTTCACCTCCTATAACATTTACCCATCTACTTCCGTACAATTGGTGCTTCTCCATCTCCCAACTCTTCCAAATTCATCTTCATACCATGATTGACACTTTGATCACAGACTTGATCAAGAGCTATCTTCTCCAAACGGTACATATGTATCGATAAATCATCCGACAAACTGGTACCGAGAATAGA